ACCCCCCCCCACAATATTTTAGTGCACTGTTAAATTGTAGTTTGTATGCTCTAATCCATTTAGAAGTTTCAAGTTTAGGGTGATATTATAAAGAGAAATTCATGTGTCACAGAATGACTTTGCCAAAGATGTGCAAGGCTGCCCGGAGGACTTGCAGTTAACACTAAAAAAGGTAATGCCAAGGTGATACCTGTCATAAGTAAATGTATGGGAAATGTGTGCAAATTTTTATTGCTCTGAAGCTCATGCAAATTGTACTTTGGGGTGTTTGGTTGGTCCATTTTCCGTGACTGGTCACAAAATGCATGAAAGGTACAGACATGTATGACTTCACAGATCATCAGGAAGCAAGTGCGAATGCAAAAACGTCCTATAAATAAGTGTTTGAGACCAGTGACAACACAAACTGAGCCATGTTGGTTCTCTGTTTAATAATGATATCTATTTACTTCTGCTGCAAAAGAACATGGCTACATGTTATACTAGAAAAAAACATCTATGAGCCTGATAATTCGAATAGTGGTATGGCAAAGTAATGGCATCTTAAACAGCAACTCCAGTGAAAAAAGAGATAGGAAACATCTCTGCAAGTATATGGTGCACAAGTTAAGCCCCACTCCACTCAAAACCTTAGTATTTGAACAGAATTGGATGGAACCTTTGTTGAGTTTTTATTTGCAGACTGTGGCCTTATTGGGGAGATTTCCTGTTCCGGAAACAGGAAAGGAAGTAATGGGAAATGTCTACAGTTGGACCACAAGTGTAAACTTGTTTTTTCAGAACAATGGGGAAGAGTTAGAACATCTTTCATGTTAATATTATTAAAGATTTGCATATATAAAATTCAATGAGTCCAAAAACTTTTAATAACAGTATTAGTTCACAAACGACAACAGAACAGTCAACACTTTACAGGGGCTCAAAACCTCCCCCTTCAGTGCTTAAAAAACCACTATATAAATACATATGCATTTCTAAATTGGTTCATACAAAATTAGGATGTAACAATATATATATATACAGGGCTTGAAAAATTTGGCGGTGTCTCATCAGTCAGTCAAAAATTTCACCAGTCAGCATGACCGGACTATAGCCTTGCAATATATGTTAAAAAACTTTGGGGACAGATAGAGGTTTCTTTTGTGACCCCACGGGGGGGTTATTTTTTTTTACTATATAATGAAGAAAGTACCATAAATATATAAAAAAAAAAGTTTCCCTATGTTATAAAACATTTATTCTTACCCATATTTTTAGTAAAACATAAAAGTCGGGGTCACGTCGGGTAAATAGACAGCAAACATATCAAGCCTTAAAACTGCGTGCGCAAAAAACGCCCATACGCGACGATTAAAATGCTTTTACTGCTCATCACTTTAGTGTTATCAGTGATTAATGGCTCTAGAATTATTGCTCTCATTGCGACATTTGCAGCGATATGTAACATGTGCGGCACAATAGGCGCAATCGTTGTTTTCGTACGTAGGCGCACCCGACGCATATCTACATGTGTATGTGGGGGGCGGGGACTTAAAAAATGTTTTCTTTTTTATTTATTTTTTTGCTTCTTTATTTTTATATTACTTCTTTTTTTTTTAACACACAACTTTATTGCTATTACATGGGGGGCTAAGAAGCCCCCTATGGGATAGCTAATTTACATGACAGGTCCTCTTTATGGAGACATCA